TAAGGCAAGAAAGGGAAATCAAAGGCATCCAAATTGGTAAGGAAGAAGTCAAACTATCCCTATTTGCTGATGATATGATCCAATACCTAGAAAACCCAAGAGACTCAGTCAAAACTCTACTGGAACTAATTGAGAGATCTAGCATCATGGCAGAATACAAGACCAACATCCAAAACTCACTTGGATTCCTCTACACCAGCAAAGAGATCACTAAAAAAGAAATAAGAAGATACAGAGATGACAGAAAAGCATATGGAAAGATGAGCCACAGTGACAGCCACTGGGGAATCGCCAACCAAAACCAAAGAGATCCCACCGCACTCTGATTAAAGTGGCTGAAATCCACCAAAAAGTCTGACAATACCAAACAAGGGAGCAAAAGCTGGTGGGAGACACCTTGGCAGTCTCTTAAAGCAACACACAGGCTTCCCACACAATCTAGCAACTGGGTACCCAACTGGTATGGAAACTCAGGTACACACAAAAACTTGTAGGTAGATTTTTATATCACTTATAATTGACAAAAACCGAAAGCAACTGACTAGCAAGAATTACAATCAATAAAAGGCAGTATAATGGACTGATGGAAGAGTAGAGTGTTACAAAATCGAATGTATGTATGAGCACCTGGTATGTGACAGAGCCGGCACTGTGAGTCATGGGCAAAGGTCAGTCAGATAACTGGGACAAACATGTAACTCCGTTTGCATCCTACTCACAGCAAACAAAGACCAATCCTGGGTACAGGTGTGTGTCACTGTCACTTAATGGATGTTAAATGTTCAGACAACATTCCACTGCCATGAGGCACTTTTTCTAACTTCTGTTCAGAAAACATTCAACCACACACACGTCCATGGTCCCATGAGGCACTTTTTTTTTTTTTTTTTTAGGGAAAGCTGCTCTTCTTTAGCTTATTATTTTCACCTAAGGTTTTAAAGACCCTAAACCCAGATTCTTGACGGACTGGACCATGAGTGGGATGCAGGCAGATATACAGAGGACAGGGCTCTGGGCATAGGCTCTTGGGCTTTGTATGGCTGGCAGACATGCTGCTCCTACTGTCCAGGTGGGCAGGACAGTGGGCAAGGCTGGCTGCATTCCAATCTCTCCCCACCTGCTTCCTCTCACCTGACTCCTGCCGACACCCTCTCAGTAGCCACTGCTGCGGGCACCTGTTCCTCTGGCCTCTGCCAGCAGCTACAGCAGCAGCAGCAGTGGTAACGAGGACAATCAGAAATGGTCTCCCATACGGTTTTAATATGGTGCTTGCACAACATCCAAATCATATAACGTCCTATTTCACAGAACCTAGGAGCTCTGGCAGCATAATGCCTAAGGCACTTGACTGCTAACTAGAAGGCTGGCGGTTCAAACCCACCAGCCACTCCTCGGAAGGAAGATGAGACAATCTACTTCTGTAGTGATACTGCCTTGGAAACCCAAGGAGGAGTCGCTATAAGTCGGGCCCGACTCGACAGCACATAACAACAACAACAATCACTACCGAAGTAGATTGCCCAGCCTTCCTTCAGAGGAGTGGCTGGTGGGTTTGAACCACCAGCCTTCTGGTTAGCAGTCAAGTCCTTAGGCACTACGTTACCAGAGCTCCTCAAAAAGCAGTAGTAACTTAAAAAAAAAAAAAAAGATAAACCAGAGTAAAATACAATTTAAAATGTCTGCTCATCCAAGTTGGACCTGCAGGCTCAGGACCATGGTCATAGGGGACATCATGCTCAACTGGCATAACATACTACACAAAAACATTGTTCTACCTCCTACTTTGGTGAGTAGCAACTGGGATCTTAAAAGGCTGCAAGCAGCCATCTAGATATAATGATGGGTCTTGCCACATCCAGAGCAAAGAAGAATGAAGAAAATCAAAGACACATGGAAACAGTTAGTCCAAGGGACTGGTACACCATGCAATCCTCAGGCTATATGACCATGACACCAGAAGAACTAGATGGTACCCAGCTACCACTGTCAACCACTCAGAGGGGGATCAGTGCAGGAGATCCTGGATAGAGTGGGAGAACAATGGGGAATAAAATGAAAAATCATTAAAAAAAAAAAAGACCTGATTAGCTGGTTTTACAGAGCCTGTGAGACCCCTGACACTATGGCCCTCAGCTACCCTTCAGGTCTGGAATTGAACACACTCCTGTGACTTCCAGCCAAACAACAGACAGACATATGAGCTGAACACTTACATCAGGTAGACACAGTCCTTGGAGTGATCAATCATGGGAGAATCAAAGGGTAGTGTTTGCACAGGGAGACAGCTTGGGGCAGTAGAAGTGCATGGGAAGGAAGGACACAGGGAAGAGGTAACTATGGGGAGGAAGCAGGAGGAGAGCTGTTGCATTGTGGGGAATTGCAGTCAATGTCATGAGACAAAATGTATATGAACTGCTGTATGGAAAATGAATTTGCCCTATAAACTTTCACCCAAATCACAACTAAAAAAAAAAAAAAGCCTGCTCATCAATAGACAGCATTAAGAGAGTGAAGCACTGTAAACCTACACTGAACTCTACTTATGTGCATATGGAAGTATTCAGAGGGAGCATTACTGAAGTCAACAATTATGACACGCAAGAGAAAAAATATGGATCAAGGGCTGCACAGACACCACTACACAACAACGAAAATGGCTCAAGTTAAACAACTAACAACAATAAGTGTTGGCTGAGAATATGGAGCAAGTCGAACTCCCAAATACTAACAGTTAACATAAACTGGTAAATATAAGAGCACATGTGGATCTTAAGCCAAAGCACTTAATGAAAAATTTAAGCAAATTTACAAGCCCACATACGCAGTAACATAAATTAAAAATATGTACACAGCAATCAACCGTACATGTTTTGTAAACTATATAAGCAACAGGATATACACAGAACACAAAACAAATCTGGAGGACTGGGGTAGGAAACATGGTATGGGGAGAACAGCAGGGCGGAGACACACAGGTAGACAGAGGCCGACAACATACACACTGACTATGGACAGAGGAGTGGTTAACTTTACCTGGTGACCCAAGGTTATCCATCTCCTCTCCCACGACTTAAAATACAAGAGGAGAAACGAAAAACAGGGAGGACAAATAACCAACCAACTCACCTGGGACTTGGTTGTCTCTAGCTGCTCTCGGTAAATCCACAGCCATTCCAGGACCTGCTCTGTCCTAAAGCTTGTCTGGCTTTGCCCAAGGGCTCCAGAAAGAGGTCTCTGGTCAGGGGTCCCTTCACCCAGGATGGTCTCCTGGCCTGGGAGCTTTCTGATCCTTATGTCACATGGGCTGTTTCGTTCCAGGAGAGGCGGTACCTGTGAGTGGGCACATTTCCTCAGTCCATACCTTGGTTTTGTTGGTGAGTCATGTTCACATGGAGCCGGCTGGGTTTTCTATGGACTGCGATTAGTGCTGCTGCAGGGTAGAGGCAAGACCACACTCAGACAAGGACCCACCCAAAGACTGCCCAGGATGCAGGAACCCAAACACTACAATGACCACATGGCTAGGAGTCCCTCAGAATTTACTCCAAACAACTTGTAGGTAGTCATTACCATGAGAACATGATGCTAGATGCTAAGGAGCTAAACTCTGCTTTAGGCACAGGGTGGACATGAGTTTGAGCCTGAAATAAAACAGTATGCGCTTCATTCAAGTTTCTCCTCTCACCATCTAGATCCCCCTGGACAGTTCAATTCTGAGTCCCACTTTTTTATTTATTGCTGTTATTAAAACATGTAAGTGGGATGTGAGCAAGGTGGCAATGTAGCTTTTCTAATCTCCCAAAACTTTCCAAATAAACAAAAGAAACATACCAGAACAGTCAAAGAAAAAACCCACGGACACCTTACAAAAATCTTCAGGTGACAGGGTACCTTGCCAAATCACAGGATGTGGGCAAATGTGACCAATTCACAAAAAGCAGCAGGAATACACAGGATCCATTTCCAGCAGAAGGAAATGAGGCAAAGATATTGTGGCCCATCCCTACCCCCAAACAGGAACAGCCTTCTTGTCCCAAAACAGAATGGCTTCCTAACAGACCAGGAACACCTATCTCATTGAAGCCCATTCAACATTATTATGGAATAACATTAAAATGACCCAAATAAGGCTCTGACAGATGACAACAGCACATCCACAATATCCAGCCACGCACACAAAAAGTAGAGTAACCAAGTCGTTCAAAATGAACTCAAAGAAATTAGGAGAACAACTGAAACTTCAAAAGGCCAGCAAGCCACACAGAAAAGGACCAGAGTTAGCCAAGGAGAAGAGTGAACAAAATTAAAAAAAAAAAAAAAAATTAAAGGAAGAGATAAAAAGAATACAACAGAGAAAGACAGAGAGAGTTACATGGGCAGTACAAACAACAAATATGAACCCCTTTGTAAATACAATACTGAGTTGTTAA